GGTTGCCATGATAGAGTCTTTGTATTTTGATTATGGAAACTAACGAATATAGTAATACATAAAACATGCTCTGATAAATTTGTGAAAATCAGATGAGAAAGGGAAATTAAAGGGATCATGCTGGAATAAATAAATGTTTATTTTGATGGATGTCATAAATAGTTAATCAAAAATATTTTAGTTTCAAAAACAAACACAAGACCAGAGAAATTGACTGTTACTCAGTTTGCATGTCATTAATCATTTTAAAAGTGCATTTAATATTCAACTCTAAAATGATTCATATAATGTCTCGTGTTTTACACAAATGACAATATATGAGGTTGATATGTCATTTGTGATTATTTCTTGTTTCTTTTGGGAATATAGTATCCCAAAGACAGGGTTGGTGCCAGAGCCGGTATGGCCACATGGGGCAGTGAACTTTAGGGTGTGAACATTTTTAGAATTTAGGGAAGCACAGAGCAGCAAAATTTTAGGAAAGACACTGGGTATCATAATTTAGGAAGGCACAGGGTAGTAGACTGTAGAATGTGGGGAGGATTGCATTGGGCAGCAAAATGCCTAGCACTGGCCATGCCCAAAACATGTGGTAGACAGGCGATTGAGACCATAAGAGATGTGATACTGACAGCTAGATGATCAGCACATTATCATGCAGTGTTTGTAATAATTACTTAAGATTGTGTCTGTCAACAATATTACATGTATGTCCCCCATACATTTTCAAAGATGCCAGGCATTTTTTGCTTAGCTACTGCAGCAATGGATTTGGATTCTCATAAATGAAAGCCTTCACATGATCTCATTAGAAATAATTAAGACTCAATAAATGAAATGATCCGAGAAGGCCAATGAACTGCTCCACCATCAGGGCTTAATTTCTAAAATTAGAAGAGCCGGATCCTTACCGTAGACCCTCATTGAAAGAGGAACAGGAAGAAATAAATAAATAAATCATTAAAATAATTAATGATTAAAGTGCTTAATAATTAAAGAAATATATTAAAATTTATTTCTTTAGTGATTTTAAATACAGTCAAAAGTCGTTAATTCGGACATCTATAATCCAGACCTCAAAGCTACAAACTTTAAGCGTGTGCGCATGCATATAATACGTTTACGCATGCGCGTTTAATGTATAATGGACGGTATAAGCTAAAATTATCTAATTATCTATTTCAGTTAATGTTGCAGATTGCGTTGTTCCTTAATCTTCGAATTGGATCCGGCTTATTATTTTTTGCAGACTGTTAGAGCAATTTTATAAAAGTAAGCTTGAACTTTCAATTATGTCAAATAGAATTTCCGATGCTGGAGCTCCCAAAGATACAAAAAAAAGTATGTTTCGATGTCCATCAAACAAAAAGTGGAATTGCTGCAAAGAATATATAAAGGCATATCCTTTGTTTCTCTAACCATTCCGAAATCTATTTATCAATTTCACGCTGCTCTGCGGGGGGGAGGGGGGACGCTGCGGTGTGCAATGAATTGGAAGTTGATCTGTCAGCACTATCCTTATCTTCAGAGCAGATGTTTTTATTTTATTTGGCTTATAATTCCTTACTAAATGTAGTTTTTCATCTCGATGTACTCCGTCTTTGATATGATTTAAATCAAATTCCTCGTCATTATAATTCGCTTCCGATAGTGAAGAAAGGGACACGGTCGTTATTGAAAATGAAAAAATTTCGATTGACAAATTAGTCGGTATTCTCAACACAGCAATTATAGGACTTGAACAGCAGAACTTTGTAACTGAACAAGAAATTATGTCTGTTTATAGAATTAAAGAGAAAGTATTATCACATAAAACAAAGCAACTTAAACAACTTACATTGAAAGAAATGTTTAATAAAGTACACAAATAAATATTAAGCTTTTTTTTTGTAAATTTTGATACCCGTTAGATCATAATTGTTCTTTATTTCATAAATTACGGTTTCATATTTTTAATTTTATAATTTCTGCATGCCATCTTGCCAGATTTAAACTGATGATCTATAATCCGGAATCGCCGAAGTCCCGACGAGTCCGGATTAACAACTTTTGACTGTATTAGATTATTAGTCCAAAAGAGCTTTGTCCCTAAAGGACTATTGTTTTCGTTTTGCGATTTTGCGTCGAATCACTGAATGTCGGTTTCACTTTTCAAACTGTTGCCACCAAATATTATCGCCCTGTATTATATTTGAAGAATTGAATGAAGAATCTGCATAAAATGTATGTATGTTTTTCGCATTATGAGAAAACAATGGTACCTAGAGCCATCCAATTTTGAATGACTTAATTCTACTGCGAATATGGGCATCTGAAAGCCCAAATTTGAAATTTGTTTCATTATCGATTTCATATTTTGTAAAACTTTAACGAATTTTTTATTAACAAACACTGCGATTTCAAAGCGAGCAATGGCAAAGTTGTACAGAAAACACATTTTTATCTCCAGCGCATGAGACGGTGTATCGGAAATACTAAAGATATGTTCAATTTAAAATTATTTTGCAACATTGCTAAATCTGAAATCTTTCAGATTTTCTTTTTTAGTCCAAAGTGGCTTTGTCCCTGAAAGACTCTTGTTTTCGTTTCGTGATTTTGCGTTGAATCACTATAAATGTCCGTTTCACTTTTCAAACTGTTGCCACCAAATGTTGGAGTCCTGCATTATATTTGAAGAAATTAAATAATGAGAAATCTGCATAAATGTATATATATTTCTCGCATTGTGATAAAACGACGGTATATAGAGCCATCGAATTTTGAATGACGTAATCCTCCTACGAATGTGGGCATGTGGAAGACCAAATTTGAAATTTGGAATTTCTTTTGTTATTGATTTTGTAAAACTTTAATGAATTTTTGATTAACAAACTCAAGGATTTCAAAGCGAGCAATGGCAACACTCTACGGGGGGAAAAAACTCTTATATCTCTAGCGTGCAGAACTGTAGATCAGAAATTCTAAAGATATGCTATTTTTAAATTATTTTGCGACATTGCTATTGAACTGAATTTTATGGTTAAAGTGCAGAAAACATGATATTTAATAAAAGAAAGGTAACACACAAAATGTTAAAAAAACGCCCCTTTGGACGTAATTTAAAATCTGAAATCGGTCAGATTTTTTTAAAATTTATCTCTAATTTTAATAAATCTAATAAGTAATTTTTAATATAATTTTATTGCTAAAAATAAAATTTCCGAGATCAGATTTTTACTGAAATTGTTTAATTCCATAAAAGTGAGGTTGCCCATGCATAACAAGCACCTCTTTGTGTTAAAACTGCCTCATCTTTGAATAGCATGTGCTGAGAATCCAACTGCAGTGCACTTTGCTGCTAAAATCACTGGTAGAGTTCCGCACACAAAGAATAATCTTTCGGTTTCAAAGTTGGAATTATTTGGAAATGGAATTGGTGGAATCCTCCGTTTAACACTCTGCAGATGGTTCAGTTGTCTCACAATCTGCATGGCGTGCAATACATTTCTGAACCCGGTCCTGATAACAGAACAATACCCTTCTTGTAAATGAAATATCAGTGTTTTTTTTTTTTTAATCATGTATTCTTTGGTGAATGCAGCAAAATAAATAAAAAGATTAATATTTACTTCATTATATTCATTGACTATGTATTTAGCCTGCAGGAAACTTACCTAGTAATCAGCTTTTCCTGCTGTCTGAATAGTCTGTAATCCCAGTTTGTATAACTGGAGTTATACTGAACATTAAAATATAGTAAAACTTGCTTATAATGAGCCCTGATTTAACAAAAACCCGGATTTAACAAGGAAATAGAAAATACTTGGTTGGCACAATGTTTAAGTCTATGGGAGTGTAACTCGCTTTTAATGAACAAACCCAATTATAGCTAGAAATATTTTTTTGATTCATAAAATTTCTATTGACTTCCACCTCTCCAGCTAAGCTAATCTTTTCTTGGAAAAATTTCTTTAAAATTCCGAATTCAGCCGAAAGTTACTAATGAGTGGTGGCCTTTTTTTATCTTGGGGAGTGATCGGGATTGAATTTTTACCATGGAGTTATCCAGCCTATAGACCAAGGGATTATCACATGTTTTAAATCAAACTTCCATAAGCACATAATTTAGATGTTCCTTGGTAGAAAAGTAAAAATAGGAACAACCTCAAATGGTAATGTAAACGTATTCGAAGCAATTGTTTAATGAAGGATGCATGGGAAAGTGTTACATCAGCATGCATTACCAACTGCTTCCATAATGCTGGACTAGACATTAGAAAGGAAAATCACTGTGGAAGAAGTAGCCGTCTTGGAAAATTTGAAAATGAGTAGAGAAGAATTTGACAATTATGTATCCGTTGATGCCAATATTATCACTTTTGAGATACTTACTCCCAAGGATATTGTAGGTAAAATCCAAGCTAAAGATTCAAGCAGATGAAAAATAATGAAAGAGAAGGTGATAAAGACAAATGGGAAGAACTTCAAGCTGAACCATCCCCAACATACTCAATGGCTTTTGAATGTGCAGGATATTTTTCAAAGATGGGGATGCAAATGACATTGCTTTTCAGGCCATGAGTCTTCTTTAAAGAACAATAACACAAGAAAGAGACAATAAGGCAGTTCAAAGCAAATTAACCAACTTGTTTTGTAGTGTACAGAAATTAAAAAGAAAGAAAGTGTATATAACACATATGTATGAATTTTTACGATTTTTTTCATAATTCCATTTCTTATGGGCACTCGGTTATAATGAATAAATATCCCAGTCCCTTCATGCTCATTATAAGTGAGTTCAAGTGTATTTAGTGAGTTTAATTTAAATCTGCTGTAATAGAAGCTTGCAAAATTAAGTGGAAATACTTATTATATAATAAGGCAGTTTATAAAATATTTTAGTTATATTTCATATGTATTGCAAATGTGTATTAATATTTTTCTCTAATATAAAAAGTTTTCTAATATGTTTCATGCTTATAGGAAAAATTTTAAAACCATGCTAATGCTTGTCTTTTTAGGCATTTTCTCAAACAGAAGGTTGGCCTTTCCCTCATTATTATGGATCTTGTGGCCGTATAATTGTTGAAGAATATGTAGGGAAAACTTTAGCTTATTTTGAAAATTCACCTTGGAAACAAAGGATTGATATTGCTTATCAACTGCTGCAGATATCTCAGATGTTAACAGAAAACTCTTTAGAGTTTGCCTTGTATATGACTGATGTAAATATGGACAATTTTGCCGTACGCTCAGATGGAACAGTTTTACTTGTAGATATTGAAAATATTGTCATTGTTGATCGTTTAATGGTACAAAAAGGTATTTTTGTTTTTTTCCTTTTTTTCTTAAAAATATAAGTTTCAACTAAATGAAACATGTGTATCACAAAGCTGCAACAAATTGTGATACCTGTCTTTCATTTATTTGCTGTTGGAGAAGGCAGTAATAATTAGTTATTGAAAGTGCTCCTGCTAAAATAAAATCTCTGTCAATTAAAATACTTTACCTTGTATTCAGCATAGGCAGCTGTGTCGAAAAGTAGTGTTTTGTTTAATTATTTTTGTGGGAGCATTTTATGTAGTACATTCTTCTGCTTTATCATGGAATTTTATAAAACCTGAAAACAAAACCATTATTCTGTGATAATTTTTTCTGTCCACATCCCATTTTCAAATTTGAGAATTAATATTTTTAAAGCCTTTTTCTCCACGTCAAAGGAATTGTTAAATATTGAAAATTAATTATCTCTTTTGAAACCTTTTGAAAACAGTTTTATTTTGTTTTACTTTTGATAAATTTGGAAATGTTTGTTTTGCTTATTAATAATATAGCTTTCTAACTTGATTTTGGAATTTCCTTTCTTGTATTCATTCAAGAGGTACTGTTCTGTTACTGAGACCAGGTCCAGAAATGTATGTATATATGGATGCATGTGTTCATATACACTTTATATGTGTCTGTGTGTGTACACATGCATATGCAAACATACATCCATAACACATGTGCATACATACACACACTTCTGAATACGGTCCTGATAATAGAAGAGTACCTAAATTGATTCTCAGAAATATACCAACCAACCCTTCAGGAAACTGCAATAAAAGAAGGTGAACTTGATCCAGCCATTCATTTTGGTTTCAGATAAAACACGTGGACCATCTGTAGAAACTCCTGATGTACTAATGCTTAAGCATGTTTTAGGGTGTCAATTTAGAATATTTTTATTTAATTTTAACTTCATTTAACTTCTAGCTACATAATCAAAATGTTTAAAATTTGCATATTTTTTTAAATTGCAATATGTTAGAAGCAATCTATCAGAAGTTTTTTTAAGATCTGTTAGCAGTATTAAATAAAAATGTATTGGTTTTCACATCATCATTATCTTATTTTGATACCTTAAGATTCTGAACTGTAAAAAAAATGCATCCTCTCCAGTACCAGGTACAGAGAGCTAAATATCCCTCTCTGAATTGTATTCTGATATTATTCACTCAGGTAACATGTAATTAGCTACAAATGTAAGACAGAGTTTCTGAGCATACGGCCACTTCAAATTTTCTTTTCTGGTTTTTATTAGTAGTGGTAATTCTATGAATAACCCATTTATTTAAAATTAGTGTCACCTTTAAAATTCATATATAAATAGAAATATTGCAGCAAAAAATGGTATTAGGATGGCACTTACTCCAAATACTAAGAGCAATTTTTTTCATTTGTACTAGTGTACAACGTAGAAAACCATAATTTCATATACAGTACAAAGTCCGTAATCCGGATTCGTCGGGACTTTGCGATTCCGGATTAGGGTTTTTTCCGTATTATAGATCATCAATTTAAATCTGGTAAGATGGCATGCAGAAATTATACAATTAAAATTATCAAATCGTAATTTATGAAATAAAGAACAATTATGATCTAAAGGGTATCAAAATTTAGAAAAAAAAGCTTAATATTTATTTGTTTATTTTATTAAACATTTCTTTCAATGTAAGCTGTTTAATTCAATATTATTTAATAATCATTATAATTATTGATTATTACTGTGGATTACTTAATAATCATTAAGTACCAATATTTGGCATTTTATAACTTCATAATTTGGCATCTCAAAAAGTTCTAATTTTCTTGCTATGCACTTTTGTAAATTAATAAAGCTTGTGCCAGTAATTTTAAGTGTCTTAATAGGTAACATTTCACAATTTTATGATGATTTTTGTTACATGCTTCCACAAAAAATTCCTTTTTCTTGTCATATATAGTGGACTTTCCAATGCCACACTTCTTGCATAATTTTGAGACGGATAGGCCTTTATCAATTTTTTGCTACAATTCAACTTTTTGTTTAATGGACATCGAAACATGCTTTCGCTTTGTAGATCCTTTGGCAGTTTCAGAATTGGAAACTCTTTTTGACATAATCGAAAGTTCAAGCTTAATTTTTATAAAATTGTTCTAACCATCTGCAAAAAAATAATAAGTCAGATCCAATTAGAAGATTAAGGAACAACGCAATCTGCAACATTAACTGAAATGCCTTAGATAATTTTAGCCTAGCTTATACCGTCTGTTATACATTAAACTCGCATGCGTAAACACGTAATGCAACACATGCACATAAAGTTTGTAGCTTTGATGTCTAAATTATAGATCATTCCGGATTATGGACGTCCGAATTACAAACTTTGTACTGTATTTAGTAATCAGTTATACATTAGTACACTTCTGTTGCTTAACGTAAATTATGTTGTACCACTAATTTTATGGGACTACTACACATAATAATACTTTACTGGCCCAAATATAATCTTCCTCCACATATAAGCCACACCCTCAAATTTGAAGGTGCAGAAAAGAAAAAGATTATCTCCAAATATAAGGCGAGTTAAGAAAAAATGCCAGTAATCATTTACGAGCAGTAATACAGTATCATTATTCAAAATATAGGCTATAATCATATGCTATACTTGGCAACTTTCTGTAAGCTGTTATTGTATGACATTACCCATAGTTATTCTTAACACTATGGCCAGTTTCTAAAATTCCACTGTTGCATTGTCATTATTTCAAAATGAGAAATTAGCACATTTTTAATTGCATATGAGATGACAAAATCAGAGCTTAAATTATGGCAGAGCCCACTGGAGCCTGCAGTTTTTGTGATAAATTGAAATTCTAGATGGAACATACAGAGCCCAAAATAAAATGGCTCTGGTACTTCTTTTATGAAAGTGAACAACAATTTCAGCAAGTAAATTTTATTTGAATAATAAATATGAGTTAAAAGTCAATTTTAACTTCTGAATGTATGCTTCTCTTTCCGTGGGAAATTCATGTTACTTTTAAATAGAATTTAATCTATTCTTAGTGGTATAATTTTCTCATTTATTAATCTATCAGTAGATTAGTTATAAGAAGAATAAAATCTCTCTGATATTGTTCTTTAATGCTTCCCCCCCTCACATAAGCACTGAAGTGCTTTCTGAAATAATTTGAGTATATAATGCTTCATACCTTTTTCTGTGGATTACTTAATATTCATTATTATTATTACTTAATAATCATTATAATTATTCATCATTATTACTGTGGATTACTTATTAATAATTAAGTACCAATATTTGGCATTTTATAACTTCATAATTTGGCATCTCAAGAAGTTCTAATTTTCTTGCTATGCACTTCTGTAAATTAATAAAGCTTGTGCCAGTACTTTTAAGTGTCTTAATATGTAACATTTCACAAATTTATGATGATTTTGTTACATTTTGCATTTGTTATATTTGTAATCAAAAGTATTAGATTATGGTTTCAACTGTGTCAAATTTAAGTAATTACAAAATTACTTCTCAGAGAAGAAATCTATACAAAATACTATCCCCCTCCCAAAAAATTGTGCTAAATTATAGAGGAAACAGTTCTGCACAGGTATTGGAGTACTTGTAGCAGATTTAGTAAATATAGTGATTTCTTGATACAGATGTTAAGCATTCGATGCTATTTGTTCAAAATCTTCCATAACTGTTACCTATGTAACTGAAAATTAGCATTTTACTGTCTGGTACGAATTAGTTTGTCGGAGTTGAGTTTGATGGAAATTTTATACTGATTAAATAAGTAGGTATGCAATATATGAAAATTGATAATGCAGGATTAGAAACAAATTGAACAATATTTAAATTTTTTTGTTTGAAGAAATTAAATATTGTTAAATAAAATCCAATTTGCTGTTTGCACTGACGTGTTTAATCATATTTTATCAAATGATTTTTGGCATTTGAAAGAAAGAGACTTCCTTTAGAACAAACACTGTGTTGTGAAATCTGTAAAAAAAAATATCATTAAGTACAAGGTGTCTGAAAGGGAACTATCACCCTACCAGATTAAAACCATCATTTACTTGCAGTTCTGTTGCAAATAATCAGCTATAGAATGTCACTAAATTCTGTATGGCTTGAGGTACTAATGTTGTATCATATGACACTGTGAAGGTTTGGTACAGAAAGTTCAAAAACAAGGATTATGACATTCAAGAAGCAGAGTGCTCTGGCCAGCTTATTGATGTTGATGAGGCTTGCCTGCGAGAACTTATGGAAAATGATCAGTATGCAACCACTCGAGAGCTTGCTGAGGAGTTAGACATTACTGCCATGTCCATTGATTGTGCTATGCATCGTATTAATTTGACATACCTTGTACTTAGTAGTTCAATTGCTGGTTGCTGCATGAGTTCACTCAAGCAAATAAAAACAGACTTATTCAGGCCTGAACTAATCTGCTTGAATTTCAATGCAAGGAAAAAATTCTGAACCAGATCATTATTTTGGATGAAAAAAAGATTTACTTCAACAACACAGGCTGTAAAAAGAGGTTGGTCGGCATCTAATGAGCCCTTCAGCAGCATTGCAAAGCACAGTTTGACTAACAAAAGAATCAAAGGATCATGCTTTGTATCTGGTGGGATTGTCATAGTGTTTATCCATGAAGAGTGTCTGGAAAAAGGTAAAACTCTTGACAGAATTTTGTACATTGAGATGCTAGTCTGTGTTGATGCTGCTATCAAGGAAAACATTGAATTGAGTTCTGGTACAAAAAGGCAATATTCCATGAAGACAATGTAAAACCACATGTGTCTGCATCAGCGGCTGGACTTTGTACAGACTTGAATGGGATATTTTGCCACACCCACCCTATAGCCCCAACATCACTCCTTCGGACTTCTTTGGACACTTCTTCAGAGGATTTTTTTTCATGCTTGCAGCTACATCATGCTAGTGTTATCTTCCATTCTGCACAGGATGTCCGAAATGAGGTTGATCTGTTTTTGGACTCACGGCAACCAAGTTTCTGGGCCGAAATACCAAAATGTTGGAAGAAAAATCATAGATTTGCGTGGTGATTGCTACCTGCACTAAAGGTACTGCTTTCAATTCTTTTTTTTTTAAACTTTATTAATAACATTTTTTTTATGGGAAACTTTTGTTGCAAGTAGATACACTATATTGGCATAGACCATTATAGTTAGGTTTGTAGGGAGGAGACATATTTTTGTTACAGTAATGATGTATATCGCTACCTTAGTAGAAGAAAAGCCACTGTCCAAAATGTGCAAATTTGAGATTTTTTTCACCACTTTATCAAAATCGTGGATTTTTATCACAGAGTCACTGGTTGTACCTTCATATTACATAATAAATGAAACCCATTCTCAAGAGATCACTATAACAAGCAGTCAAATGAAAGAACGCTGCTGAGTAGTTAAGACCAGTGAAAGCTGGTAGTTATGCGTAGGTTTCAACTTGGTACATGTGTGTTTTCATGGTTTTCCATATGAAATATAAATTCATTAGTTTCCCTTAAAAAGTCCTTCAAATATATCCTACCTCTTGGCAGATAGCCCTTATGTGCTGTGCAACATTCAGTTAACCATAAATAAATAGGGCTGTATCACATACTTTACCATATTCAAATAATCAGAATAGAACTATTATAATAATATTTTAGTGCTATGTACATTATGCATTTTCAATTAGTAAAATGATTTATCTCAGAATATTATTTTTTTAATTCCACTTATATTACTTACACTTATAAAACTTGCCCAAATTAAATCTCTTTTCTTCAAAACTTTCCAGGTTGGACATTGGTGCTATTTTCAGCTAACGTGAATATTTAATTATCTTATAATGCTATTAAAACTATTTACATATGTGATTTTTTTTCTTTTCTGTAGGAAAGAATTATTCAGGACAACTTCATCAAAGTGGTGAATTTTGCAAAGACTGCTTGAGTTTCTCTTATGAAGACCTGTGCAATCATGATCTATCAGATCACAATTATTATGCCATTTGTAAAGGGCTGTTGGTACCCAATTCATATTACTCTGCAAAAGGACTTCTGCACAATATACCTGAAACAATAAATATGCAGACAAACTTATCAGCCCTAGTACATGAATGTGCTAATCCATCCGTGGCCTTCAATCGTTTTCATGTTGTCCCAAAAATTTTACAGGTTATGAAGTCACTACTTTGATATAATTTTTTTATTATATCTACCTCTTTTACAATCATCAGTACTTAAAAGATGCCTCACTTGCCATATTTTTGCTTAATTTAATGATTGGTATCATTACTTCTGTAACTCCAAATGCTCACATTTGCATTTCTTGGATTTCTAATGTATCTGTATTGTACGTGTATAATACAGATATTTAATCATATAATACAGATATTTAATATATACTATATATACTATTATAATAATAATTGTGTATATAATACAGATAATTAAATCATATCAACTTTAACAAAATCTGTATAAATGCTCGTTGGAGACAATGAGAACAAAGTATTAAAACATGCCTCATCCTGTATACAGAAAGTCCAAAACTTGCTCAAATTGAAGGATAGTTGTAATATTCATTCCCTGTATTCCTTTGTGAAAAATATTAACAGAAGATCTAATATAGGAAATCTTGTACATTTAAATCTAATTCAAACCAACAGTGTTAAAAGTTGTTTTTTATTGTTCTGTCATTACTGTAGCTAAAGTGGTTAGTAATTATAAGCAACAACTATGTTATCTCCAGCAAAACCAAGTATCTCTAAAGGGCAGTTTTACGCTTTTTTTAAAATATTTTGAGATATATATTCTGTTGACATTGCTATCTAGAACACTTCATAACATAAATTCATTCACATTAAATGTGTTGTATGTAATTATACGCAACTCTCATGAAATCATGAAATATTTTCACAGATTTTTCAGCCACTTTGCCAGTGATCATAGTACATAGGATTTATACAAATCCTGAATCAAAGCTGTCATAGTTTAATCTATGAGTAATGTTATCTGAATGATAAAATAATGTTATCTGAATTTTTACTTGGCATAGATTTTATATCATCAGATCATTTCTGTTTAATTAGTAGTAATACACTAAGAATACAGCATTGGTGCTGTGTCTCAAACCATAAAGTTAGACTTAATTTCTTCAATTCCTTTCTGTCATATCTCTACTGATCCTGGAGAGGGGGAATCTATTCCCTTTTCTAAGAAACTTAATTTTATTATCTGATCAAATGTTCTGTTTACTTTTTATTGGTGAAAATGACAACAGTAGCAAGATGCATATGATATATTTCTCCAAGTAAAAAAATGTGATGCTTTATAGCTTAAAGTCATACCAGTTAAATGTTTAGTAGTGTAGACATTATTGTTTCCTTTTTGTACTTCTCAATATAGCTGGTTTAATGCTCTATGATCTTCACCAAACTAGCATATTTCTGTTTTGACTGAAATTCTGTAGTTTTCAGTGTTCAGCAATTTGAAAATTTTTCTAAAATCATTACAGGTTATAATGCTGTACACCCATTTTTGCTCGCTCACAAGCATGGGAGAATTTCTTGTGATTCAAAACAAGTAAACTGCCGCTATTGAAATAATTGTTTTTCATTAAGAAGCAATGGAAGGCTGCATGCTCCTTGCTCTCCTTCAGCTGAAAGTATGTCCAGAGTTGCTATTTAAACTGAATCTGGACTCACCGGTGAACAGTAGCTGGGCCCAGTCATCTTATCTACACTCACAATAAAGAGTGTTGTGTACTTTCATCTGAAAGACACACAGAGCAGTCATCTTATCTACATTCACAGTAAAGTGAGCTGTTGTGTGCTTTCATCTAAAAGACACAGCGAGCAGGATGCAACACAGTAATTTTTAAAAGACTTATTTTCTTTAAGCCATTGGTAAGCAGCAAGTTTGTTTATTGAAGTATCAGCTACTGCTAACAGATCCTAATCCAACTTTCTAGTTGTATAATATCTTTTGTCAACAATGACAGTAATGCTCTTGAGATGGTGCAACTACCTGTGGATGATTTTGATTAGTAATATGACTGACTGTTCACTGGTTGAAACTTACATCTAGATTCATGAGATCAATTTTGGGGATACTGAGTTATCTGGAAGTCTCCAACTCTGTTTAACCTGCTCATGTCTATCGGCCACTCACACTTCTATCCTCCATCTGACATGAAGGCATAAAAAGAACATGTTGCTGTAAATCATCTTGAGTAACCTCAGTGGAGCCATACATTGCTTAGGCTTTTCTGCAGTTCTTGGAATTTCAAGGTTGAAACAATCCAAGTGCATGGGATTTTCATCATTTGCCTCATCTGTAATGTAAATGTGAACCAGTTTTCCACTGAAACTCCTCAAAGAAGTTATCCCCTCCCTTTAGTGCACAGCCATTACATACTTTGCTCTGATACCTGTAAATTCATATTCTGCAAGACAGCTAGAATCACTATTTCATTATATCAAAAGGAAAATCTGTGAGTCTAAAATACCTAGTTCTTTCATGTCTTTCATACATTAAATTTTATATTAACTGAACTGCTTTCAATTCAGTGAGTAATTCAATGCTGAGTTACACTTTTTAGCAAGCTTTTAAAATATTGTACAAAAAAGGAAGCCTTGTACAATATTATTCAGACTTTTAACTTTTCATAACACTTCATGTCTTTAAAAGAAATTTATTTAACTAGTCGCATTAGATATTTAGCAGAAGGAATAAAAATTCTTCTCCTGTATCTGCAGATGATAAAAGCTCTTCTAAAGGGGGGGATTTTAAAAGAAACATTAAATATATATTATAGCTGTATGCCTAACTCATTATAATGTTAGTATATATGTAATATCTTTCAATTCAGATGCATCTGAAATGACCTAGATACCAAAATGCATTTAAAAAAAGGATAACATGTGTACAAAAATTCAAGCTTTATTAATTGAAGATAAATTAAGATTTTTTTTATCCCTGTTAATAAGAAAAAATTTTTATGGTAGTCATAAATTTGTAACTTAATAGGATTACTTTTAACACAATCTATCAATTTGAATCAGTTGACCTAGATACTCACTTTTAAAACTCTTTCTTAAAATATCTCTTAAATGTTATTGACATCTGAACCTTTTGTTAAGGTTTATTTTATTGATTTGTTTCTTTAACCATTTGTATGTTCCTGATGAATCTAAACAATCATGCTACAATTCTTAAAATTTTCGCCAATGTTGAAAAGTTAACTGCTATCCATGAATTCATATCGCTAATGAAATTGCAATTGCATTGTTGGAATAGAATCAGCGTAAGATTTTTAACTTTTTGCAGGACTAGTTTCGATGGTTTAAATACAGAACCATCTTCCTCAGTTGCCTAAGCAGTTAGGCAACTGAGGCAGATGGTTCTGTATTTAAACTAGTCCTCCAAAAATTTGAAAATCTCATGCTGATTCTTCTTGTCTGACTTTTAAAATTTATTCACCGTGTTATTAAAGAGGTGTTATAATATTATACCGTGTTATTACATAACCTAAAATATAGGAGCTGCAATTTGCATTTTTTAAGCTTCCTTAAATTCAGGTTTTGACTGCAATGTACTAATTCAGAGAAGTGTTGCTAAATGCTTTATCTGTCAGTCTATTTCCAACTGCAGTCTTCCTAAGATTTGTGGTAGAAAACATTTGTTTACAAATATAAGATGAAGCAAACATAGTACTGATTTTCTGGGTATGAGATATTATTATAAATTTGGGAAACTTGCTTTCGATAACGATTTTTAAAACTCTATGAAGGAAGAAGACTAGATATTGTAAATGCTGCGATAAATAAGTTTCAATAAACTGTGGTATATCGAGACTCATCATAAAAAATGAAAGTGGGTTCTCATTTTAGAGATCTTCCTGTTTTACGTTTTCTGTGTGACATTATTTTATGATTTTCTTTAACTCATTAGCCGCTGGTGTTGCGTTGACGCAACGGTCAAAATATATGAGTATATAAATATAAATACCTAAGATATTTTATACCAGCAAATGATTTTGTGTAGGAAATATTATGAAGATTATTTCTGTAAAAAAATATTTGCCTTCAACAATCATTTTGTTTATAATAATTAATCTCATACTTTAAGCAAAACTTTTTCTGAAAATATTTAACGAAAGAATCGCCGTCTTTATGAGTGATCTATTTTTTTGTCAAGGTCACCATTTATCAGAACATTACATCAGTCAGATGTTTATAATTGTGTTGGGAAGGAAGGGAAAACAGGTGTTGCGTTGACGCAACGTCAGCAGGAAACGGGTAGTCAATCTCCTTTTTCACTCATTACTTTCGATGTTCTGATTGTTTAAAAATGCCTAGAACGAGGTATCTTACATTAGAAGAAGCCCTTTTTTGATGAAGAAACTAAAAACCCCTAAAGATTTTTTGATGAAGAAACAGATGATGATAATGTTAATAATGACCAGAATGAAACTGCTATTGTTGTTGTTCCCCCAGAAATTGCAGAGGCTAGTGACGAAGAAGAAAGGAATGGTAATGATACTTTACCAACTGATACTGCTGAGGAAGTTGAAATTCACGTAAAAAGTAAGTTCCAGCCTTCTAAAAGCAGTTATAGTCATACTAAAAAGTTTAAAAAGTAGAAGACTGAAATTTTGAAGTGGATAAAAAAAGGAACTGTTAGTTATGTCTCAGGAAAATCAATGAAAAAAGAGATAGAAGAGAAATTATAAAAGACAAAACACAAGGTAAGACTAGTGCACAGATTTTCGATTTTCTTTTGGTTTAGACATTTACTCTCTTCTCGTTGAGCAAACAAATATATACGCTCAGCAAAAAAAAAAAAAAAAAAAAAAAAAAAAAAAAAAAAAAAAAAATTGCCCAGAATTTATTGCATCTGAAGCCTATATGAGAAGATTTATTGGAATATTATTGCTTACACAATATTTTTTATCTCAAGAAAAAATGTATTGGTCTTTTGATAAGGACATTTCTGTTCTTGTTGTACGAGAATTGATATCACGTTTGCAGTACAGGAATATGAAGCAGAATTTGCATTTGACAATAATCAAATTGACAATACTGATAAATTATATGAGGTGAGACCGTACCTAAACTTACTAAATATCACCACTTTTTACTGCTTGAAATATAAAGTCTCTTTTAGATTTCAGACAAGAGATTGCATTATTCCTTTTGCAAACTCCTATTGAGAGTGTAGAATTAGCTAGAAATAGATCAGCAACAGGAAGACCTAGTAAATTCAGCATTCAAAAACCATTGCATGGAGATGGTAGATATTTTATCATAAAGTCCAATGATAACAAAAGACTTCATTGCAAAGAGTGCCATAGACTGTTTAATAGATGCAAAGTAGGTAATGTAGCTTTATATCATGATTGTAGTGAAACTTTTCGGGCTTGAATCTTTCAATTGAAATAATCTGTATTTGTAAAAGAAATACAATGTATATTTTAATATTAAATTAATTACAAGTAAAGTGATTTGTAGATTTATAAAACGTTATACAGTTAAAAAGTAATCCTGCGCTCCACTGAAAAGAAACATCACACGAGTACAATCCTACTAACTAAACATCCGTAGTCTTATTCCGCTGACGTTGCGCGAACGCAACACTCGCTTTTTCTACGGGTAAGCTTTTTTTTTTTTTTTTTTTTTTATTTTCGATGTAAATTTATGTTATAAATGCTTAAATTAATATCTGTTATTATTTTCATGAGAACAGAAACATTCCTTGAGTTTTGGCGGTTAATGGGTTAAAGAGCTTTTAGAATAAAGCCAAACAACGCCGGAAGGGTCACATAATACATATAGACGCAGTTGTGCGGACTGCGTTAAAATATTAGTTCTTGTGCGAAAACAGGCTGGTGCAGAGCGTATATGTAATTTCAACTGTAGCCAGTGTAACATGAAACAAACTTGGGAATAAAAGCTTATAGAAATCATGCTTTTTTGATGCATTAACTGTAGTGATAGATTTTGTCATATTTGACGCAATTGTGACTGTGAAATGTAGAAGACTTATATCGCCGTAATCAGAATTGACTGCAAACATTATGTTGTACACCAAATTGGCGACCACGATAAGCTATGCGCGCAGTGCTTCTGCAGTGAACGTTGTTCGATTGGACTTCTAGAGCGGATTAATAGAATTATGAAGTCCTTTGCCGTATAATTGATTTGGACGGAATCAAGAGCTCACCTTACTAATTATGGTAAATTCCAACAGTAACGGAATTAATTTTAGGAAGCAAAAGTATGTCCATTATTCCGGCATGGATTACGTAGACCTGTCTCTCACAACTGTAACATAGCGACTTGAGATCAATATTTTAGAGGAATATCAATACATTTAATCAGAATGTCGGGAAAAGATTATAGGCTACAATACATTTTGAGAAAGTGTTCAATGACCTTGTTCGTTATTTCGAATTAAAACAATAAGTCCGAACTTCTTGAATCAATGTTTGCAGAGTGCAATTGATGGCATAAAGATATATATCTTCCCGTATATAGTGATCGAAGAAAATATTTTTTTTCTATTAATGAAAGCGATTATTAAATATGCTTTTCAAAAGACTTTCCTTGCATGATGTCACTCCTAAGTCTTTATATCAAATGAATAGTCTCTTTATAAATGCTTCAAAAATGAGTTTAAAGGGATTGCTGCTGTACGTTGGAAACAATTTCAACTCTATTCCTGTTCAAAGCGTTTCATGGAAGAAAGGTTACTCTCAACAAGTTGCTACCTGTGCTAAAGTACAGAGAGTTTGACTCAAAAATATATGCTGACTTGAAGGTCATTTCTGTTTTAAGATGAATGAAATTGGGATGCTCTAAATATTCAAGTTTCTACTGCGAAAGGAACAATTGTAATAGATAGAAAGAATGCCATGTAGTTAAGTGACATTTCGAGCGGTTTCTGAAGTTTACTGTTAAGAATGTGGTAAATGAACGTCTTTACATTAAATTAAGTTTAACGAAATTTTTCAACACACGAGTAACGAGAGAGTAAGACATTGAGATTTATTCAATTCTCCCCCCCCCACCTCCACATTGAATGCTAAAATAAGGGAAGTATCTGTCAATTCAAGCATTCGAAAGCTCATGCAAAATTACAGATTTAAAAACGTTCTTCAGAAATTAAAAGCCAACCTGGCTGTTATTCAACTACAATGCGCAATAATTCCTCAAGAATATTTCAAGTTATGTTGAGGAATTTTTAAAGTTGGGCGGTCACGTGTCTTTTATACTGCGTCTCCTTTTTTATCACTTTGACCATTTTCCGATAATATTACTGCAGTGTATGACAAATACGTCAAACGATTTAATAACCTAGCACCACGAAGTGACATTACCGTTTGCATTGGAATCAAAGGTGCTTCCTGACTATTGCTAATCTTTCAAAAGAAGTGTAAATAAATAGTAAAACAATCTGAACAAATGTAATGTGTTCTGCCATCGTAAAATATAAATTTCTAGTAATCTAACTTGCAACTGTATTGTAGCAAATAAATCAGCATTATATCATGCTAAATAAGTCGTTCATTTATATAAAATAAAAAACATTTTATAAATTTGAAAATATACACAAAATCCTCGTTCTTGTATACTTTAATCAGTATCTAATTGTCGGAAATATGTTGAAAATTATATTGCAATTCCTATCTTGGAAGTGCTCAAAGAACGATCCTCTGGATATCAGAATAAGCTTAAAATTCGGAAGTAATATTGCAGCTAACAAGAGATTTCGGTAATTTTATCATATGCGTCAAGGAGAACAAGAACCCATTATTCAGCATCGGGTAAACTCTATGCTCAGTAAATAATTCACAGCATTAAGTACTTCAACAAAATAAATATATGCGCAGTGGTCTTCATAGTTTAAAAAATACATATATTGGTATTTCATTAATAGCATATATTTAAAGTTTGAGCACTCTCAAGATTATTTCACTCTATAATTTTAAAAAACTGGTAATATAATTTATAATTATAATAATTTTATACTAGAAAGAAGAGAAGTATAACTCTTTCAAGGTGAAAACAACGATCTTTATCAAGCATGAAACTTTGTTAAAAAATTTCACGAAATTCTAGAATAATATCACTAAAATTGAATAAAAACTAGAAAGAACCTATAAATTTAAAATTATGTAAAACAGCAACCTTATGTTTGGCGTAGATTTTAATCAGAACTATTAGTTTTGAGGACAATACGGTATAGATCTCTCTTACAGTAGAAAATTTCTGCAAAGAAGGGAAAAGCAACGACCTTAATTGTACCAAAAACAAAGGGCGGAGTAAAGCAAATACGGCCGTCTCACCATTTGTCCAAGAAAATAATAAGGGAACATAAAAAAGTTAAGATATTAGAACTTTAAAAAAAGGTAAAGAAGGACTGGACAGGACTTAATATCATTAACTAAGCACGATAAATTTTGGAGAATATGAAAATATTTAAGTAAATCTAATACACTAACTGAAGAAGCTTTATGGAAATTTTTCGCAGATCCAAATTGAAAATTAAGATTAAATTTCCAGCTATGATTAGCTATCAAGGATTTATTTACTTCTCCTTTACGGGCATAATATTAATAACTAATGCGAGATTTTACAGCGCTTTTAGTTTGAACGGTATATCGCAAACCACACTAACTAGCTATGCTATAAATTCCTAGAGAATTAATGTCAGAGATGTAATCATTACGAAACGAACAATGAATTTTACTGAAAGGTGAGAAAATGTCCTGACAGCTGAACTTTTCGAGAATCTTTATATTTTTTATTTTTCTTTATATTTTTGATTCGAGAATCTTTATATTAGTAATAGG